TAAACTGCTTGTTTTAAGCTTAGTGTAATTTCTCGTGCTGAACAATTTGGAAAAAGAGCAGCAGGTCGAGAATTGGAAGTGGACGAGCAATGCATTGAACCTTGGAGAACTGAAAAAGAAAAACTTGAAAATATGCTCCTATAGAAACCAGACAAAAGAAGTATTCTAAGACGGCTAAATCTAGAGGACAGCTTTGCAGAGTAGGTAAAGGAGTAATGAGGAAAGGGAATGGCAATTTCAACTGCAAAATTTCACTTACAAGAAAAATTTATGCACAACAAAGAAACATGCGCCCTGTTGGTGTGGCAAAAAGTCAGGTGATAATTCCTTTTGGACTCACAGAATAACAGGGGTGTTTGTGCTCCAGGGATTTTGAACTTCGATTCCCGGAAATTCCGGGGATCGTCGTTCAAAAGGAAGTAAGAATAATAATGAATTATTTATTTTTATCTGGGTAATTTTGTTTGCTTTGAAAGCAGAAAACGCAAGGTCAGTGTGGTGAAAACTTTTCCTTTCTTTCTCCAAAGGCAGTGATAATGCATGAAAAGGGGGAAAAAACTTCTTTTTTGTTCTTTCCTTATTGCGAGTTATGACTCATTCCCCCGGTTCTCGGACATTCTCTTCTGGATTCTTTCGGCAAGTAGGCGCGGCAGAAAAAAAAGGGAGAGACTTCGTTCGACCAGATGTTCGATCACATGACTCTGGGTTCAAAGGTCTAATCTCTCCTGGCGTGGCGCCAATAAGTAGAGAAGGGGGAGTTTTCGCCGTATTAGCTATTTGTCATTGATCGCTTCTCAACTTTTTTTTCTCCGCTGTGTAAAATTTTCGTTTCATTTATTGATGCACGTGTAAATTTTTTTCGTTTCGTTTATTGAAATATTTTTTTTTATTTATGTACGCAAGAGAATTTCACTATGAAATTTCTCGATATAAATAGTGATATTATACAATTAGAAGAAGGTGTCCGGAAGGCATTTAGGTGGAATTGGATTGAACGGAGAGATGGTAATGGGGATACCATCGGCACATGGTGCAAGAAAATAAATGTTGCTGGACAAGCATATTGTGTTTTTTGTAACTCACTGCTGAAGTATGGTGGGGAAGGATTCAAGGGCTTTCACAAATCACAGAAAATAAAAAAAAAACAGCAGAAATTAGATAATTTTTTTTAAAGGATTAATTCAGGTAATTTAAAATATTTACATAAAATGTAGTAGTTTATATGTTTGAAAATTTATGGTTATTAATTTTGCAAAAAAAGTAATTCATTGAACTTTTATAATTAGGTCATTCAATACTTCATAATTGTAATTTTTCATTTCTCTCCCCCCCCCCTTCTCGAAACTCCAAAATGTCGGTAGTAAGTCCATAAAAGTTTCAGGGGATTTTTGGGCGTCCCACAAACACCCCTGGAATAATAAAACATCTTTCCTAAAATATGCGATAGATATTATTAATAACAAAAAAATTCTTCTGTCACAGATAATAAATATGGAGGAAACATCATTAGCTTTTGATTCTCCTGCAAACAGAACTTTTGATGAAACTGGTGCAAAAACTTGTGACAGGCACAAAATAACTTTATTTACATGTGCTTTAGCTTGTCACCATTTGCTTGTGCAGCAAATGGTGACAAGCTAAAGCTGCTGATCATTTTTAAAAGGAAAATTATTCCAAAGGGAGATTTACCTAATGATGTAATTATTTGTGCAAATGAGAACGGTTGAACATGCAAAACGATCATGCATAAGTGGCTACAAAACATTTGGCAGTGTCGTAAGGCATCTTTTATCCAACCAAAAGTTTTATTGATAATGGATTCCATGTATTCTTATTTACTTGATTCAGGTAAAGCAGATGTCAAAAATTGTATACAACCTTAGCATTAATTCCTGGTGGCTTGGTAAAAAATTTACAACCATTAGAATTGTCATTTAATAGCCTTCAGAGCTGAAGTCTGAAAGTGGTGGGAGTATTGGATGAGTGAAATATTACACACTTATATCAAAAACGCAACTTGCATATAGGATCTTATGAAGAAGTTGCAAGATGGTAGAGGGTGCATGGAAATTTATGAAAATATCATCAATAATATCAGGATTGAAAGTAGCTGAAATTATATCCCCAGATAGAGACCATAAATCAAGAGAATGAATGCGGCAGTCTGGCAGTCTTGGAGTATTTAGATCAGGATTTGCTGAACCTTTTTAATTCAGATAGTGAAGAATCAGATTTTGATGCCTTTATATGATGTACAATTTGTTGTAATTCTTTTTGTTAACAAAAGTAAAATTAAAAATTTTCTTGTCTTCTGTCATTTAATTTCATTTTTTCGATTTTTTTTATAACATAATTTGAGTATTACATGTATGAACTTCTTTAGTGTGTTAAAGTATTGCATAAGTACACTGCGCAAAAGAAAAAGGGGAGACAGTTCTATACCTCTCATTGTACTGGGCTGATTGACAAAATTTAAACTGCATTTTTCATGTTTCAAAAGTGCAACTTAGATATATACAGTCAAAAGTCCATAATCCGGAATGATCTATAATCCGGATCTCAAAGCTACAAACTTTCTGCGCATCTGTAAATGCATAATGCGTTTACGCATGCGCATAATACGTTTCCACATGCACGTTTAATGTATAACAGATGGTATAAGCTAAGCTCTAATTATCTATTTCAGTTAATGTTGCAGATTGCATTGTTCCTTAATCATCAAATTGGATCCGGCTTATTATTTTTTGCAGACTGTTAGAGCAATTTTATAAAAGTGAGCTTGAACTTTCGATTATGTCAAAAACAATTTCCGATTCCGGAGCTGCCAAAGGATCTACAAAGCAAAAGCATGTTTCAATGTCCATCAAACAAAAAGTGGAATTGCTGCAAAAAATGGATAAAGGCATATCCTTTGTTTCTCTACCCATTCTGAAATCTGTTTATCAATTTCACACTGCTCTGCAGGGGGGGGGACATCGCTGCGCACAATGAACTGGAAGTTGATCTGTCAGCACTATCCTTATCATCAGGGCAGATGTTTTTATTTTATTCGGCTTAAAATTCCTTACACTAAATGTAGTATTTCATCTCGATGTACTTCGTCTTTGATATGATTTAAATCAAATTCCTCGGCATTATAAATATCATGAATACACATCAAATAATTTTCTGGTTACAATTTTCTAATTTCGATTATGCGTAATGTATGCTTTACGCATGCGTGCGTTGAAAGAAATGTTTAATAAAGTAAACAAATAAATATTAAGCGCTTTTTTTTTTTTTTTTTTTTTTTTTTTTTTTTTTGTAAATTTTGATACCCTTTAGATCTAATTGCTCTTTATTTCATAAATTACTGTTTCATATTTTTAATTTTATAATTTCTGCATGCCATCCTACCAGATTTAAATTGATGATCTATAATCTGGAAAAACCGATAATCCGGAATCGCTGAAGTCCCGATGAGTCCGGATTAAAGACTTTTGACTGTATTAGATTTCTATATAGCATTGTTCTAACGTAGGTATTTTGACACAAAATCGGACTTTTTCTTAAATGACATGCCAATTTTTTTCCATATCTCAATTCTATGACTCAAATTATTCCTAAATATTAAATTTTATCAAATTTTTGTGAAATATACGGAGAAATTCAAAAATTTATCTAAGCGCAAATTTTTCAGTTTGCGCCAAGAATAATTCACTTGGCGAACTTCTTAATAATATATGGCAACCTATTTTCCTTACCCTTTTTACATTATGCATGAGTGGAAAAAGTCAAATCTTTCTTGCTTTCAAATAATTTTAACAAAGTGCCTAAACCACATTTAATATTGTTATCGCTTTCAACAAATATGCCAAATTTCAGAACGCATTAATATATAAATTCGCATTTTATCTTCGGAAATTTTAAATAAAAACTCTAATTTTTTGGAGATATGCTTAGAAATATATCTACTTTAAGGTGATGATAAAAATGTTATAGGTTATAATTCAAAAATTTTTTTGAAAAATTTATAAGAATTATTTAAAAATACAAATTTTTAAAATAAATCATAAAAAATAGATGAATTTAATCTGGAATGAACCTAAGTTTTGAAGTGTGAAAAGAATCAAATAAGTTTAATAAAAAAGAGAGATTAATAAATATATACCAAATTCAATTAACTTTGAGGAGCTAAAATTTTGAGGGCTAATTTTTTAAAAACTGCTTATGCAATTTTTACAAAACTTGGCAGTTTGGCATAATTTGAGTCATAGAATCGAAATATGGAAAAAAAACCAGCATGTTATTTCAGAAAAAGTCTGATTTTGTGTGAAAATACCTATGTTAGAACAATGCTACATATACATCTAATACATATCCTAAGTCACGCTTTTGAGACATGAAAAACGCAAGTTGAATTTCGTCAATCGGCCCAGTAGAAAGGAAGATACAGAACTGTACCATTTTTTTTCACACAGTATACATTTGTGAACATAAGTATATTTTCAACAGTTCTTACCTATGATTTTAGTTCATGCATTTTCCTTAATTGATATACCATATATCTTGACATAAATCAAGATTTTGCTACTGTGATGTTCACGGCAATGTCGTGTGCAAAGTGTGGCATTTTCTGCGTAACTTTAGCTCTTTTTCGTCATTATCCTCGAGTACAACATTTACACCGATGGGGCATTTCTTCCAGAAAATATTGTATATTAAATAAGTAAGTTTCTGTCATTAGCTTTGCAGTAAATAGGTTTATGGCATAGGACAATTACCCAGATGAACTTTAGTCCAATTTCATCTGAATGTCTGAAGTTCCACTGTAGTTTTAAAATGTTAATTATGTGTAAATTTTTTAGTCTTATTAATTTGTAATTATAAATGATGTGCATACATCTAATCATATTACTTGCTAATACTTTAAAAATTTCATCACACATACCTGCTTATTTTATTTTCATATTTTCTGTTTTAAAAAATGTATGGTTTATAATGCAGAGTTTTTCTTCCAGTGATATAGCTCAAGCAAAACAGTCTCTGGATTCACTTAAGGTTTACCACGCTTCATTAAAGCAAAAGATAGATGATGAAGCTGATATCCTTATGGAATTTGCTGAAGTGTACAAAAAAGCCAAAAAGGAGCTTGAAGAGAAAGAAGCTGAATTTTGTAACTTGGTACATGCTTTAACATCTATATTATATTGAAATATCCATATTGTTATGAAATTTTTTATTTCATGTGTTGGTAAAAAATGCATTTTAGTTTTTGTTTACCATTTTTGCATGACCTTTTGAAAAAACAAAGTAATAAATACCAATTCTAGTTTTATCTGTTAGATAAATTTGCTAAAAATATAGTATAAAAGAAAATTCAGTGAGTATTAAAAAAACGAAAAATAATTTGCTGTAAAAATCCAGTGCAAAATAAAAAATTTTGAATTACATAATTTGAAACAAATGCATTCAAAAGTCTTTAAAATATATATCTATTTTACGAAAAAAAGGTATTGTATTCTTAGTTGCATTTAACTAAAAATAAAATCGTGGTATAGTAACAGTGACAAATTTCAGGTCAAAATTGTCAAAGAGAACTTTAAGTGAATTACTTTTCCTAACTGACTAGTTGCCAAATGCTACTGAACACTGGTAATTTAATGTTGTCCAAATCTTGGTGAATGGGCTGCATGGATGTATTCATGGTTTTTCCCATGTATACCAGTCAGTTTCCCTTAGAAAGATATCCACAAGGACATCACTCCCCATTGGCAGATAGTCATAGTATGCTTTGCCATAATCTGACCTCTGCTTTATCACGTCTGCTGACTCAGTATCTGCAATTTACAGCGGGTGAAAAAGTTTCGAAAAAAATTAAACGTAGCAAAACTGGTTGGCAAAATATTAAAAGATTATGCACTTACAGGAAGGTGTGCCTCCAAGAAGGGCTTTCAGAGGGAAGTTGGTTCTTATTAATATTACATCTTGGGAAACCACAGAAAATGCATGCAATTGGTCTTTTCATTTGTAAATCAAATCCAAATTCTAGATGAACTGATTTTATTCGTTCAAAAACTGTGATAGGCCTGCATTTCAGACCCATATAATGAAACAGGAAATGAAAATACACCATACGGAACTTTTTTGTGTCTTCTCAAATTGAAATGACCATGCAACCACCCTTATCATTTGAAATGAAATTCAACAAGAATTACCTGTGTTCTGTATTTCAGACCCATATAACAAAATCAAAAATGAAAAAGTTCCATGTGGAACTTTGTTCTCAAATTAGAATGGCCACTGAGTACAGTTTGTGGAGGGGGGGATGATAGAGCATTTATGGCATCAAAAGAACCACAGTTTATTTTTTTAAAAAAAACCTCAGTGGGCTTTATTTTTTTATTATTATTTTTTTTATAAACATATCTTTCAACAGAAGTTGAGTAAGCAATTTCGTTTTACATGTTGCTACTTTCTCTGTAATTTTTTAGATATGGTTGTTTGTTCCTCTACAAAGTTTCATTGCTCAAATCCTATAATTTTCATTAAGTAATTGATTGAAATCTTTTCTTTATCAATGGCTTTATTACTTTCTTCATAAATTGGTGTAGAGTTTTTCCTGATTCAGAAACCATACTTCAGATTTTACCGTTCATTAATTCATTGATGAATGGGCCATTCTCATCACAATGAAGACTTTAGTTAAACCATCTTCATTTAGTATTAATTTCCATTTCTTAACATATTTCGTTACTCATAAAATGTTGCTGTTCCCCCTGCTGAAGGGATTTGGTGGTGTTAGGTTTTTTATGGGGAGGGGGGGACATTTGGTGTATTTTCTTGGTACCAGGCATCACCATTTGGTTTAACTTCTTTCCTGATGCATTGATGTTTCCATTTTTTATTTCTTAATAATTCAAATGGATTTTTATGATTTGGAATTTGCCACGAGATAAACAAGTGATTATCCTATTTCTTCAAGAAAAAGGTGTACTGCTGAAACAATATTAATTATTATCACCTCATAAAGTTAGAATGTGACTAGATGCTGAAATAGAGATATTTTCTGCCATTTTAACTTCATAGATTTTTTTGTTTGATAACTGATTGAAAGTTAGAACATTGTCATCACAATGGAAGACTTCAGTTATATCATCTTCTTTCATATTTCATTAATTAAAAACTTTCACTTTTTACTTGTGCAGAGTTGCCAACTCTCCCGATTTAGGCGGGAGACTCCCGATTTCGACCGCTCTCCCACCAACCTGATTTACAGTATATTTCTCCCAACCTTTTCTTATTCTTAAAATTTCTCATGGATTTTAAGATTTTTATGGAACTTGGCTTAATACTTTGTTATATGAACAGAAAAAGGTGATTTTGGACGTCTGAAAGCAATTGAATTTTCTCTAGATTGTATCTAAAACAAAACCTTGCGAATTAGATAACTTCTGCTTTGTGAGTGAGAACATATACGTATCCAGAAACGTCGTTCTCCAGTTCTCCAATGGGCATCGTGCTCTACTGTGTGTCATCTGGCATATATTAGCCAATGAGGACAAAGCAAGCTGTTATTTGGATGTTCTTTAGTTATTTGGTCATTTTGTTCTGAATTGTGTAAGTACACATGCCTTCGGGAAATAGTTTTAGAAATTATCATCTTTTGTTATGTCTGCGAGAAAGGTGAAATACTCGTCTATGTTTCAAAAATCGTACACAGTTGACTTTCCTTCCATTATTTCCTCAGGGAAATGTAATGAATTTGCGATGTGTATCACCTGTCATTGCGATTTTTCGATTCGCATGGTGGAAGGTCGGATGTTCTCAAACATGTGCGTACACAAAAACACAAGGACAACATGAGTTGTTTTGAAAAAAAACGAAAAATCAAATTTTTCTTTGGAAACAGAGGACCAAAAAGTTATTAATGCAGAATGTCTGTTCTCTGCCTTTTTACTAAAGCACAACCTGCCACTGAATACATCGGATCATGAAGACTGGTGTTGCAGGCATCTTAAGAAAGGAAAATTCAGATTTGCAGATTATGAGGTGCACCTGTCACTTCTTAAATTTAACAGCTGAAAAAGGGGCAGCTTCTTTACCAATAAATGTGGATGAATACATTGTTGATATTTATTATTATCTTGAAAGGAGTTCTAAAATGAAAGAAATATTGAAACAGTTTCAACAGCTGCGTAACAGCAGTTTACAGTTAGAAAACTTGGATGAAGTTATAAAAATCAGCTAGGATTGACACCCAGTGGAGTTTAATTGGAAAACTGAAAGATACTGATGGAATTTTAAGCTATAGTGAACTGTCTGGAATTATGTTGGCCATCTTGACAGTTCCCCATAGTTCCTGTACGTATGTTTTGAAGGGCTATTTGAGTCAAACTTTGCCTGTAGAACATTTCTGAATTTTTAATAATAGCCAGATCTAAAGGTTGTACTATACTAGTGCAATTTGCTGGGAAGAAAACAACTTTCACATTTTGCGAGAATGTTTATGGTTTTGTCTCCTCATAGTGTCATCTATTTTCTTGAGCAATTCTGTAAAAATTTCTGTAGTCGTTCATACTTTTTTATTAGCTTTATATTCTAGTGGCAGAGCTGGAATATTTTTGAAGCACCTTACTTTTTGTGACTTTCCTATAATTAAAGGATTCATCTTATCTGTACCATCAGCATTTGTACCCCTTCTAAAGGTAACCATAACAACACAACAATGGTCACCATTGAAAGTTAGGGTTCTTGCAGGCATAAATTTAAAGAAAAGAGCAGTTTCATCAACGATGAAAAATGCCTTTTAATTCATTAAATTATCCTTAATCCATCTATTTTGGTGGATAAATTTTCAAATCACTCTTCAACCTATTAAGAAGGAATGCTTTTTTATTCCCTATTTCTTATATAGCATGAGATGCCATGGCACAATTTAAATTTATGCAGCCTTCCAGTTGCAAAGCAGTCTTTTCTTCACATTCACTTGAAGTGTTATTTCTTTTACCTTCTCTATTAACTTGGAGCCATTTACTGGAATATTGGATGCACCAACACTGAATGAAAAATTTTAGCAAAAGGCTTTGATCTCTGGAAATTTTTGATCTTGTACATGCAATATCTTTGAAGTGAACTGTCCACAAATTTCTGATCTTTCTTTAACTTTTTTTCTGTTATAAACAACCGTTTTTAGTATTGTCACAAGATCTTAACTTTATCTTTTTATGATAGTGCCTTTCATTTTCATGATGTTTTGTATCAGTTAATTTTATTCCATCTAGTATATTTAACTCAGTGTTCTGTCCAGAAGGAATCAAGTTTTCCTTCCAAGTCTCCCCTCTATTCATGAACTGGTTTCTCAATTCCTGTACCAGATTGTTAAATCTCGCGCATTTATTTAATTTGTTCTATCTCCATTTCTGAGGAAAATACTTTAAAGGTGGGATAGCAAAATGTAAAACCAATGCAGTATGTCAAACAAAAGCAACGTATAACCGAAGTTGTGTGACATGTAAAAGAAATATTTTGTTAGTAAAATAAAAATAGGACTGAAGCAGGACCAAGTTGAAATGCATATAAGCAAGAATCGTAAAAATGGTGCTCTACTATACATCAAGAATTCCTGTCTGGTACCTACACATAATCACACAAAGGCCAAAAATGAAAGTGTCTTTCATGAGCGATTGTTAAAGGGGAAACTGCATGCAAGGTGATTCAGTAATATCACAGACAATTAGAAAAGAAATCTCAGTTAATCAGGATAAAAATCTCTTAATATGGTGCTTTATACAGAGAAGTATGGGTACTGTATTTTTTTCATTGGTCTGTCAGCATTTAAGAATTAGATTAATATGTCATTTATGATTTAAAAGAAACTGCATTTACATGTCATCCATGGTTTCCCATATCCAATGTGTCTTAAAATGTACAGGTACAGGAACACTACTATGTTTGTGTAGAATACAATATAATTTACCCTAAAATCTATTTTGAAGTTTGAAAACTGATACTTAAAGCATTTTTTGTTCTTAAATATCTAAAAAGTGCAGGTAGAATAATCAGTATTCTGACTGCCTCTTCCCCTCCCGCAGATTTTTTGCTTATGATTTGAAAGCTTAATATATAAAAATATATTAATGCATGTTTCAGTTTTCATCTGAAATAAATGAAAGAATATATATATATAGTTCCAGTGAGTAACTTTGTATTTTTCAGTTGAAGACCGTGAGGGAGAGTTTCAAGCTTGAGAATGAAGAAGTTGTTGATGCGCTGAAGAAGAAGTTTGTTATAAATTAATACAGAAAAAAATCCGATTTTGTATAAATTTTTGTACTGCTTTATTACATCAGAATTTTTTTCAGAAACTTTGTTCAATTTTATGTACAATTTCTGAGATTTTGTAATGAAAGTAAAATAAAATAATAAAACTTCATGAGAATATTAATAACATATTTTTACGCTCTGAAAACTTACAAACTATTTGTGTGAAAATTCATATCAAATGTAAGAAACTTAATTACAAATTAAATATAATAATAAACCACAAAGCAGTATTGTTGAATGACATTTAAAAAGGAAAAATCAACCTTGAATTATTCTAATTTTTTTATTAAATGACTCTCAATGCAAATCAAATATCACATCAAAAATCACAAATTTTTAAATTAAATATCTCAGTGAATTTCTATTGTATGCGAAAGTATAAAATCTTCCTAAATATAAGTTTTGACATCGGAAGAAAGTATAAAAAGTTAGTTTTCAGAATTTTCACAAAATTGATTTCTTTAAATTTAAAAATGCCAAAATATGAATATTTGCATCATTTAAAACATTTCTCTAAACGAAGTGTATATCTATGACAAATCATTATGAAAATTAAGGTCTGTATACTGATCACTATTAACTGTGTACACAGAAAGTATTTCTGTATACAGAGTTATCCAAAGGTACAGTAAAAGTAAGCATTCAATAAATTGAAAAGTATAAACAGTAATATATTGGAGCTTTCAGGGAAATGCACAAAAATACATGGGATTTTTTTTATTAACAAAATATTTTATTGCTAAAATGGTTACAATTGTACTTGAAGTCACAAGTGTATAGAGCTCTGCCAACATTATTGGCCATTTGAAAGAAATAAATTACTGTCATGTGATAGAAATTATAACTGAATCCTGTAATAATCTGTGCTGGATGTTATGCTGTGTCTAATGGTCACCTTTATGGATGATGGATGCCAGACTGAATATCTGTAATCATAATTTTGAAGTGTGCTGCACCACTGAACAAATTCTTGGCACAACTAAAGTAAAACCTGTTGGTAAAAAATGTAGCTAATCTGACAATAAAATATTTCATTATTAAAAAATCCGGTACTTTTCCGTTTTGCCGGCGCAAGCGATAAAGTCGCCAATAATGGTACAACCGATGCCAAACGGATAGTCTCGCGGCCTTACGCCTCATCAGTAGTTCGTTTATGTCTAAGGCCATTTTCGGCAATAAAATCATTAGGATGCAATCACACACACACAAGCCCAAAAATAGAAATTATAGAAAGGTAAGTCAGGGTAAAGTCATCATTCTAATGAGAATGCATTGCGAAGTAAAGCATGCAGTTTTACATAATTTCTGAGTGTTATTCGACGAATTGAAGTATTTCTTGCATTTAAACTTTTTCCAACTAATATTTAACTTGAAATTAATGTAGATAATTACTGAGAGCATTATATTTTGAAGTAATACGGAGATAGATCGCTTGGGGTTCACGATATGAACCGGCCGAAACAGGATGTTGAACCATGAAAGATAGAAATTCGAACTAATGTATTTTGATCAAAATTATTGTATTTATGTATGGCTTTTATAAAATTGAAAGCGATATTAAAATGTTTATGGCCTCAAAAAAAATTAGACGAAATTTGTGAATATTTGGGGGGTGTATATGTATGTTGTCGCCAATAAAGTCTGCTTGGCGAGATTTGCGCCGGCGAAACGGAAAAGTACCAAAAATCCCATATCTTTCTGCTTATTTCTGTGAAAACCACATCATACTAATTTTTTCTTTGACTTTGGATCATATTATGTATATGCATTGCTTAGTAAAGTTAATGGAGTAGATGAATTGGTGAATATGTAGCGCAATATAAAAACTTTTGATAGATACATAATATAATATAAAAGTATACTTAGGAAAGGAACGAGAAACTAAAAAGTCAAACAGGTAAGAAATCATAAATTAATGCAAATAAAGATAATTTTATGAGCAACACACCTGGTGTATACTTGTTACCTTTCTCGATTTATGAATGCCCTTCCCAGCAACCTCATTTAAAATGTATATCTCCTACCTTCCACATATTTCTAAAATTTCTCACAAATTTTATTAGTTTGACTTAATATTGGATTATTTTGCATCGAAAAACATGATTTTAAGTGTTTGAAACAGTCTGATTTTTTCTTTTAATCAAAAGAAATCCGTTTTAAAAAAAGTCTCACTGCTCTGCTAGCTGTGAGATAATGTTGAAAACATCATATCTATTCTCCAGAGGAATGAAGTACATACAACAGGGAATACAAAGCAGTTTCACATTTTAGCATCCGTAAATTGGTGCCTTATATATATATATATATATAGATATATATAGTAAATGTAAAGATGCAAGATTTTGTAGTAGTTCTAATTTTAAAAATGTAAAATGCTCATGTTCTTTTCAAAAAAGTGTGTACAGAGTACACATATGCTATTTTTTTGCATCATGTAATCAAGAAAGTGTAATATGTTCACAGTATGTAGCATTTGTCATTCTAATTTTTTGATTTTGCATAGTGAAAGAGCCGATTTACTAAAACATGTGCATTCACAAAAAAGAAAGGACAACCTGAGTTGAGCTGAAGAAAATCAAGAATTGTTCTTTGAAAACAAATTACCAAAAACTTATTAATACAGAATAACTATTTTATGCCTTTTATTATTATTTAGCACAACCTGCTACTATTCATGCAGCATTTTTTTTTTTCCGAAAAGATATTTACTGGTAGTGGAATACTCATGTGCAAGGACAAACTAGACTGTAGTTGTTAACAATATGGCTATAAAAAATAAACTTTCAGCAATTTATTGCATTAAAATAACTCTTTTTGAAGATGGATATCAGTAATACTGATGCAAAACTGTAGTGTTGTTATGCTTTTTTTAACTTTTTAACCTCAGAAATTAAGTATATTTTATGTTTTGTTTGCACATTGAAAGGAAATTCAACAGGCCATGGCTAATTATTTAAACTTTGGAGGAAACTATTAGCTGAATAACTGTTTAGCTTATGATGTAGACTTTTGATGTAGATGTTTAGCTTTTGATGTAGATCATTTATGGTAGGTTTGAAAAGCAATGGCGTCTTGAAAAAAGTAAACTCAGAGTTGCACATAAAATGTAACCGGCACCTTTTAAATTTAGCTGTGGCTTCTTCACCAGTATATGTAGATGATTGTATTGATACAGTACAAAGTCTTTAATCCAGACTCTTCAAGACTTCGGCGATTCCGGATGAGAAGTTTTTCCGGATTATAGATCATCAATTTAAATCTGGTAATAGGCATGTAAAATTAAAAAGTAAACTAGAAACATAATTATATCTAAAGTATCAAAATTACAAAAAAGAAACTTCCTATTTATTTGTTTACTTTATGAACATCTCTTTCAATGTGCATATCAAAATTAGAAATGCAACCGAAAACTATTTTATTGTATTGTGATCTTTATATGATTAGGAATTTGATTTAAATCCTACGAGACAAATCAACATGAAATACTACATTTAGTAAGAATATAAGCCAAAGAAAATCAACCTCTGTCCTAAGTGATGATCGTGCTGACAGATCAACTCCCGTTCATTGTTGCGCCCACCCGGTCCCCCCAGCCCCAAGCATTGTGAAATTGAAAAAAAGATATGGTTTAACCAAGGATATGGCCTTTATTTTTGTTTGATGTATTCGCAACTCTTCGTTTTTACTTCCTTTGGCAGCTCAGATTGAAACTCTTTTTGACATACTCGAAGTTCAATCTTACTTTTATAAAAGTGCTGTAACATGTTCAAAAACTATACGCCAGATCCAATTAGAAGATTAAGGAACAGTGCAATCTGCAACATTAACTGAAATAGATAATTTTAGCCTAGCTTATACCATCCGTTATAGATTAAATGCATATGCACATACTTAAAGGTAAACGCTACGCATGCGCAGAAAGTTTATCTTTGAGGTTCGGATTATGGATCATTCTGGATTAAAGACTTCGTACTGTATTTGCTATTGTCTTATAAAGAGTTCTAAAAGGAAAGAAAAACTGAAGAGTTCCAACAGCTACATGATACTAAAGTATAAAATGTGTATATATTCACTAGTTATTTTTAGAGAAATATTTATAGAATCTTCAACCAATGGGACCCACTTTTTATATTTTTTAAAGAGGATGAAAATGTGGAAAAAGCCTTTAGTTTGGTACATGTTCAGTACCTGTCAAATGGATGAAATGAAGAAATTGTTGAAAAAGTGTAATATATATATGGCCATTATTCCAGGTCTTTTAATGTCATTAGTTCAACCTTTAGCTGTGTGTATGATTAAAACATTCAAAGAAACTTTAAAAGGACAGTGGAATACGTGGTTATTAGAAGAAGAAAAACATTTACAAAAAGATGCCAAAGACGTCATGCCGGTCTAAAAATAGTGTGCGATTGGATATTAAAGGCATGGAAGGAAATTAAATCCGACATAATTCAAAAGTCATTTAAAAAATGTAATGTATCTAATAATCTAGACGGAATGTCAGATGATTTTTTATTTGTGGATCAGAGTAACAGTGTTGGTGAAGATGAAACAGAATTCAGTGATGTGCCTAAACATATACCAGAAGACGAATATGGCAAACTTTTCATGTTATCCAATAATGAAACTTTGCAAATTCCTAAGGTATGTCATTTCTTTAAAATAAACAGCATTTAATTGCATGCCGAACTCTTGATTTTTGTATACTAATCTTTTCCTGATTTTTAAATTTATCATTCTTATATCCAGCTTATAACGTGTACCCTTAAACTTTGATCTTATTTTTTTTATATTAAACAACTTATTTCATTAGCTTAAACAACATTTTAGCATAATATATTTGCACATAAATATAGCTTTCATTTATTTTGCATGAATTACAGTTTCATAAATTAGGACATTGGAACATCAATATTGCCATAATTTCTTTTGTAATTTTAATTTTGAATTTAACAAGGCTCTTACAGGTTTTTCTTTATTGTATATTATCAGACCTATTTTCACATTGGTGAACAAGCAATAAAAATCTGATTTGGTGATAAACAAGACTTAAGTTGTATCTGTGAAAGTAATGTTGTTTTTTTGTCGTTTAATATGAAATTCACATCCAT